TATTGTTATGTAGCTTTATTGTTCACTTGAGGTCATTTACTGGTTTACAGTGAGAACTACAGGGGTTTTTAAGTCAGTTTGGGTCATATTGTAATATATAACTTGAGCAATACTGTCACACACACAAACAACAAACATTTTCCTAGTCAGACATACATCAGATAAGTTTCATGAAGCTCTCTTATAGTTCAAGGTGGAGGTCTCTAGTTTCGCCCCTCCAGAAATACAACATTATGTCTCAAAATAAAAATGGAGAGAAAAGGAGGCTTTCCAAATGGTTGGACTATGGCAGTATCAATGGGGAAGGACAGTCGGATCCGTGTCCTACCTGCCAGGGCACAGGACGCATCCCGAGAGGTAAGTTTCAGTGACATTAAATATTTCTATCTATTTGGTTAGAAACACGTGAGTTCAGGCCTTTAAAAACTTTAAAAGACTTTTATTCTGTCTGTCTTATCTTGACATCCTCAGGTCAGGAGAACCAACTTGTGGCCGTCATTCCTTGCAGTGATCAAAGGCTGAAACCTCATCACACGTCAGTATCATGATGACATGCAGCTTAGACTTCTGCAATATCAGTTCCAGGATTAATGTTCTTTATGTTGACATTCTCCCACAGGAAGCTGTATGTGTGTATATCGGTGGGGCTTTGCCTCCTGATCTGCTCACTGATCCTGTTTTTCCTCTTTCCCCGGAGCATGGATATGTCAGCTGTGGAGCTACAGTCATCCATGGTCTATTTCACTCCAGATTCCGTTAAAATTGTGGTCACGGTAGGTTATCTGATGTATAAATGACACAAAGGTTTGTCTGTTGTATTGCACTTGTTTTGTATATAAGGCTTGTAATGCTATGAATTTATGATCCATTCTCTAGCACCAAATGAACCTGACCAACCAAAACTTTGTCAGTATCACAGCTAATAATCTTAGCGTGCAAGCGCTGATTTTTGAGACTGTGGTAGGCAAGACCAAGTTCCCCAATGTCACCGTATTGCCTCCTCGATCCCAGAAAACGGTAATGCTTTAGTATTCAAGTAAATGGTAAAGCATTTTTCAAGTTAAAAATGTTTTCAAATCTTTCATACTGAGAGTTTCCATGGCTCATGGGATTTCTGCAATATTATAGAATTTTAAATAGTTAGTTCCAGACATTGAAAGTCTGAGTCACTACAGAGTATCCGCAGAGTCTTAAATCTCAAAAGCTAAATTTTAGGCATTAAAAAGTCTTAAATCTATTGAAATATTGTGTTGTAGGTATTACATTTTTACAGGTCTTAATTTTTCTTTGTTCATGCATAGCTACCCAGCCTGGCCATCAACATCCATATAGTACAATCCCAATCTCAGTAAAACTTTTAACTTTTTATTTAAAGAGAGAATTTAATGATTTTCCTTACAGTAACATTTGTTTAAAAATTTTCTTTTAATACTGCTGAAGATACTAACCTGACCTACATTTTTTATTAAATTATAATTTTTGTACAGTTAAATGTATTAAATTATAATCATTTTTGATAGGGCAAGTGAAAATCTTTTCCAACTGGAATATTTGAATAAAATCCATATCAATTTGCCCGTTATAAGTCTAAAATTTCATTCATAATGGTCTTAAAAAGACCTATATACTGTAGAACTTGGTGAAACCTGCAGAAACCCTGATTTACTTATTTATATTTATCAGGGATCTTTGTTTGTTGTTTTAAATTTTAGTTTCCATTCATCAAAAAATTATACCATATTTCAAATCCTGTTGTTATGGTTAAGCTATTTTTTAGCTCCAATTTTACTAATTTCATCTGGTAATCACTTAGGTCAAATTCAGTCCCCAGAATATCCTTTTAATTAGGACTAACATATCACACTACTATGTCTGTTTTTTTTTTTATTCTTTTAAAACCCGTTTAACACATTTTAATAGTTTTTTTTTTTATCTGTTTTTCTTCATTTTTGTTCTTCGTTGTTTTCCTTTTTTTACTTGTTTCTTTTATTTCTGTTTATGTAAAGCACTTTGAATTACCATTGTGTATGAAATGTGCAATATAAATAAACTTGCCTCACCTAACATGTAGGGATAATCTAAATTTTAGGAGCTTTGGCTTCAAAATGCCCAGACCACTTTTCTCATTGAACTATCAAATATGGGAGAGGGAGAAGTTCACAGCCTTAAAAACAGTATGTACCTCACATTTAAAAGATAAATCTGAGGTAAATTTTCCCTTGTTGTTGTCATGGTGGCTATTAAAACCGTTTCAGTATCACAGACTGTTTTTCTATTCAATATAGGTCATGGAAATTCAGCTTTTTAATCAGTAAAAAGTTAAGGGAATTTGATATTTTGGAGTGGGAATCCTGTACACTACACATAGAAAACCTAGGAAGAAAACATCCTTGAGGCTCTGATAATGACAATTTGTCTCTCATCTTTCAGATTAAAGTTATAGCTGACATACTTATCGATGACACAGGCCTGAAGTAAGTAATGCTTTTTTTATCTCTTCTAGTCTGTTTCTAAATTTCATAATTCAATCTTTTAAACATTGTAACATATTTGACATTATGCAAATTTCTAAAAACACATTTAAATACTCTTCTTTTACAGTAATTACTGCAAGTCAAGTGCCTTTCAGATTCACACCTTATTCTTGCATTTGCAGTAAGTACTCATTTTTAGCCTGAAAAAGTTGAATCATTGAACACTGATTGTCAGCTTGGGTTGTTTGGTTGTTCTTTAGTAATTCAACAAACAAGTTCTTACATAAACAGATCTCTATCTTAGACATTTGAAGATATTTGTGTACCAGAAAAATAAGGGAGCCACTAGAGGACTTTAGCAATCTACTAAAGGGGAACCTGGATATTGATTCAGGCCCCTAACCACTATTTTAGACGTGACAGTATGTTGTATTTGTGTATCTCGAAATGTGGTCTAGAGATCAGTTTTTTTTTTTCAAGTTTGAAAAGTATCTGAGAAATTGAGGTTTTTGTAAAAATTTTATATAACCATTTTATTTTTGCAGACCAAGGCCAGTACACATTCACTAAAATAATAATAAGGAAAAATGAAGAAACTTTTTTGGTTTGCTTTTTGCTGACAGTCAGTGACTTATTGAACTTTGATTTTTCTTGAAATTTTACAGGTTATAAAAGCGCATGACCTAAAACTGAAAACACCCATAGTAAAATATACAGTATATAAAGTATACTACCATTCAAAAGTTAGCAAGCAATCTGTGAAAATTTTGTGTACAGTATTTGAATATACAGTGCCTATAAAAAGTCATCATGCTCCTTTGAAATAATGACTTTATTTGTTCCAAAAACACCTTTCCAGCCTTTGAAATGATTTGTAGCCTTTTCCTAACCTAAGCCTTTCTACAACTTTATCCCGAAGGACTTGTGAAAGCAGGGTGTAATGCGAGTAAAAGTATAGATTTTTACAGTGTATGATGATTTTCTATAGGCACTGTATCTTCTGCTCACCAAGGCTGTATTTATTTAATTATAAATACAGTAATACTGTGGATTATTTCAATTTAAAGAAATCCTCTGTTTTAACATATTTTGATATTTAATTTAATCCTGTTTTTAGATCATTATTTTACTCGTCAGAGTCACGCGATTCTTCAGAAATCATTCTGAAGTGCTGATTTGGTGCTCAGGAAACATTTTTTTATTATCAGTGTTTAAAACAGTTGATTTAATAGTGGTTGTAAATATTTTGCAGAGACAACTAATTGAGTTTCTTTCAGGGCTTTTTGGTTAAAATATACAGTTGAATTCAGAATTATTAGCCCCCCTTCAAAATATTTTTTTTTTCTCTTTCTAATATTTCCAAAATCTTTCACAGCACGTGTATTTTCTCTTCTTGAGAAAGTCTTATTTGTTTTATTTCAGCTAGAATAAAAAGCAGTTTTAATTTTTCAAACACTATTTTAAGGTCAAAATTATTAGCCCCTTTAAGCTATGTTTTTTTCGATAGTCTACAGAACAAACCATCGTTATACAATAACTTGCCTAATTACTCTAACCTACCTAGTTAACCCAATTAACCTAGTTAAGCATTTAAATGTAACTTTAGGCTGTATAGAAGTGTCTTGAAAAATATCTAGTCAAATATTATTTACCGTCATCATGGCAAAGATAAAATAAATCAGTTATTAGAGCTGAGTTATTAAAAGTATTATGTTTAGAAATGTGTAGAAAGTCTGCTCTCCTTTAAACAGAAACTGGGGGGAAAAGTAAACAGGGGGGCTATTAATTAAGGGGGGGGGGGTAATAATTCAACTGTATGTCTTTTTAGTATACATTTTGTTAAAATAATTGTCGTTGTCATATTTTAAAATTGGGTTTTTACAAATAACATGACTTTAAATATTTAATTTTAAGATGCAAAATATTTGTGTACTCTGCAGATTGAATATCAAAGTCTTTTACCTGTCCCATTCGGAGGAGATGTCTACAGATGCCTATGAGTATATTGACTGTGGAGTGAATTCCACTGTGCCTCGCCATTTTCCTCTTGTTTGAGACAAAACCATTGCAGAAGTTTTAAAAATCCAAAAGCTGCTTGAAAACACGGTTGCCAATATTTGCTATATATAGTTTACTAAAGTCAGTTTATGTGTGTAAAGACAGAAATGTACAATTTAAATGTCCCTGATTATGTTCTGTTAACTTGGATCACTTTTCTTGTTTGTTGATTTGTTAGTGTTTACTTTATAAAAAAAACATGTTTGTTTTTTTAATTTGCACAGCATGAAATTGGTAATACTGTTCCAGTAGTTAATGTATTAATAACATGAACAAACAATGAACAATAATTGATAGTATTTTCATTATTAGTTGTTTAATAAATGCTGAACAAGTATTGTCCATTCTTAGTTCATGTTAGTAAATACATTAACCAATGGAAACTTATTGTGAAGTGGAATCTGTGAAATTGCACATTTAAACTGTTATTTTTATATGTTGAATTCTTGAGCAAAATCCAATCAGAACTGTTAGACCACTTCTGTTTTTATTAGGATTGTGAGACAGAAAAATAAAGTTTGCTTTCCTGTAAGATACACCTTGATGAGGGATTGGTGTGATCCAGAAGCTCCTCACCATTGCTGCGAATACTGCAGAGACTGGAGCAAATCAAACACACAACTTATGTAGAAAGATTGACAATTTCCTTATAAACATGTTGCTTATTTTTAAAGGTTTTAACAATCACTATGATATTATAGAATTTACATACACATATGCAGTGCTGGGTAGATTAATTATGAACATATTTGTTACTGGATACAGATGAAGTTTAGTAGTCAGCAATCTAGTAATTTTTATTCCAAATATTTTGTATTCACTGATGTAGTGTTTTAAAACTTTTGACCCTACTTGTTCATTACAGATTTAAATAGGATTGTTGTTATTAAAAACATAAGAAAAATATTCATCTCTTCTTTAAGCATCAAGAAATGCATTAAATGACATTATTGACTACGTTCACACTGCAGGCAAATGTGGCCTAAATCAGATTTTTTTGCCCACATGTGACTCAGATCTGATTCTGTCATGATAGTGTGGAATCTGATCTTTTCAATTCCATGCCACTTTAATACGTGGTATTAATTTAGACGCAGGTCTGATGTTTTGCAATCCGACTGCAGTGCACATGAACAGTTATGCAGGAATTCATGTGACTTTTACATAGTTTCTGATCGGCACACATCATTTTTCTTTACTAATTCATGCTGCAAACATCCTCTACTCCTTAGCGGTATAGAATAACACATCAGGCAAATATTTTACCCAAATAATTGAAGGTTGTTTATTTTGAAAATTGTTTGAATGACAACTGGCACTTATTAACCAAACATTAACCATTAGCCTTTAACCAAAAAATGGATTGTTCAATTAGATTTAAAATACCACCATAGTGAAATTGCATATACATACAATAATAAAATATGGCCTAAATGAAATGGCTATATTTCACTTGAATAATGAATAAATTAACAGAAAGAAAAACTGCCTGACAAGTCTTGCAACAGGTTAATGCTTTTTTTCAGTGTTAAGGACAAAATTCTTCAATATGTAGATTAGTTTATCAGACTCTGGGTAGGATAGTTTATCAGACTCTGCTATCAACATGCTTTATTCACTTCAAACACTAAAGATTTATGTTCTGTGTGTAATTGTACATTTGCACATGCAGGTAAGTTTAGGACCATAATCTGTTCACACTGGAAATCTGATATTGGCCACATTTATAACAACAATGTGATCAGTTGTGCAAAAAAAATTAGATCTGGGGGGAAAAACATTAGATTTTAACACTTAGCCTTGCAGTGTGAACGTATAGCCTATGATAGGGTTTCCCAAAGTAGTGCAAATGGATATATATATTTATTTAGGAAAGGTGAATATATAAATATATATATATTTAGGAAAGGTGAATGTGATTGACAACAACGAACTGTGAACTTCGCAATAAATTTGGGAGAAATTAATTATTATTAATAAATAAATTATTAATAAATAAATTAATAAATTAATTATTATCAATTATTTGCTGAAATTATGTGAATGATTTGTAATCATGTAATCCATAAAAAGTAACTGTAATTTGATAATGATAATTTTAAAATGTAATCTAATTACAAGTATATTTTTTGGAGTCTGATTAGGCTACATTATTCAGACTCTACATGTAATCAGCTACTATCCAGCACTGAACATGCACATACACAGGCTGTATGAAACTGTTTTTTAATATTATAAAATAGCTCATGATTTGTGGGTGGTTTTGTAATTTACAATTTCAGAATAAATTATGGACATCGACTTTTGTTGAAATTTTAACTGCAGTTAAACAAATTGACTTATATTGACATTTTTTGTAGTCTATAACAATATGTTTTCAGAAGGGTCATGTAAATTATGGTGCAACAACAGGCTAATGTGCTGCCAGTACTCTTATTATATATTTCCTAAAACTACTAAAAATGTAAATAGAAATCAGTTTGTTAACCGGATATTTGCAGTTAACATCAACATTTGTTTTAACTGTAATTAAGAGGTATTATTTACAATACAAGCTCCAACAGATAATGTCCACCCACTGGATCAGTTGAATTTTTAAAGTACATTCAAAGAAACAGGTTAAACAAGTTTACATTTAGCCTGCGGTTTCTCTAATGAAATATGCAGCAATGTACTCACGGTGTATCTTTTACCCATCTTGGTGTGACACTTACAGATGCATTGCTTGTCAGCCTCTATAAAAAAATACGTTTACACTGATTTAAATGAGAATCCATGTATAATATGCCTTGTTTTTATTTATTTTATATCATTGAAATGAATTAGCCTTTAAAGGCACAATATGTATAATATTTTATTTTCCATTAAAATACCCTCAAACCACTAGAACAGTGTTATACGTTTATGCTGACTTATGTGCTTAAATTCCCCAAAAATATTTTCAAAACATGTTCAAATAAGAAGTAAGACATTATAATATAATAATTTAACGGCATATGATTTCTGTTTTGGCTTAATAGAAAATGGAATCACCAAAGATGCTTTATTATTATGTTAAGCATTTTATTTGACTGCACAGAGCATCATTATTACAAACCCCCTAAATCAGTGGTTCTCAAACTGTGGTACGTGTACCACTAGTGGTACGCGAAGGAATGAAATATGTCATGTATATGCTACACACATTTAAAAATTTATCAAAAATTATGTATATAATATGCCGTTTATGACATATAGCCTATATTTCTGAGGTAATCAGCCACATTTTTTTAACTGCAGAATTGTAGCTGCTTTACTGGGCCTACTATGGTACTGTATTTCAATACTGCTAATTTTTGGTGGTACTTGGAGTGACAATTTTTTTTCTGAGGTGGTACTTGATAAAAAAAAAGTTTGAGAACCACTGCCCTAAATGTCTCTAGTATGATAAAACAGCACAGATTTTTCCCACATGATCATGAATGACTGTGGCGTAATGGCTGCTTTTATGCCACTTCGCTCATCAGCAATTGCTTAAGCTGCCTCGTTTAGCTTCGACAGCTTCCTGCTTTACTCAGTGTCATACTACCATGATAATATGTATTTAATACTTGAGCTCATATGAACATGATTTCAGCATGAGTCTCATAGGATGCAATGAAAACCACAACTCTAATGATTCCTAACTCAGTCACAATGGTCAACCAACGCCTATGTTGGTTGTGAATATTTTTATTTTGGTGTATTTTGTAAATTGTACAAAATTTTCAAAACCTTTTGTACTTATCTCAGCAGAAAACAACTATTATGAGAGCTAATCGAAAATCTTTTTTTTTTCAGACATGTCTGCACATTTTCAGTTGTTTGTTTATGAATTAACCGTTAAAAGCACTTAATTGGAGAAAAAAACGGTTGTGTTTTGGTAATTAAACATTACCTTATCTATTGATTATGAATGCCATTATCGTGTGTTTTGAAATTGTAATTATGTGCACTGAAAATACCTATATTTAACACATGGGATTTGGATTTTACTTGCAGTGTTTAAAAAGTGACATATTTGTTTTGTTTTTGTAGTTTTTGAAAAGTTTTGATTTATGCCTAATATTTAAAAACAGATCTAAAATGAAAGAAAAAGAAAACTCTAATTGCATGCAACAATGGAGAATTGACCAGTGTACTGATATTTGACCTGACATTCTGAGCGCCTTTACCTGGAGGTTCACAGGGTGTCACATGTGCAATAGGCTTCTCTTCTTTTTTATCTTGGTTGTCTCCCTAAAAAACAAAACAGCATATTTTAGAAAATTCTTACCAGCCACTTCTTGGGTACACATATTTAACTGCTCATTGCACAATTGTCTAGTGGGCCAATCACATGGCTATTTATTCCGGCATGAAGATGTGGTCAAGACGATCTGATCGAAGGGCAACAGTAACTCAACTAACCACCACCTGTTACAAACGGGGTCTTTAGAAGAACATCCCTCAACATCACACTAAGCATACGAGGTAAAACAGCAGCAGGAAAAAACAGCACACTGGTCACACTCCAGTCAGATAACAACAGCAAACTGAAGCTAAAATTCAGACAGCTGAGTACTAAATGTTGCATTGATGAGTTTCAATCTCCACTGTAACATTCAGATAATGGGGTCAGAAGTTGGCATAAACAACATTAAAGCATTGATCTATCCTGCTTTTTAGTTGGCAGTTTCTTGGATGGCACACTTTATGCTACTTAGCACCTGCTATTAAGCATTGTTTAAATGCAACAGACAATTGGAGTGCAGGTTACCATGTCAATCCCTTGATAAGCACAACATAGCAAGATCAAATCATCTCAAACTGGTTTCTTGAACATGTCAATAAGTTCACTATTTTCAAACAGTTTCCAGTCAACAGAACTCAAGCAATTTGAGCTCTTTGGGATGTGGAGGAATGGGAGTTTTGCATAATAGATGTGTAGCTGCTGAAAAAACTATGCTATAATGTAATGTCAACATGCATCATAACCGCAGAGGAATGTTTGAATTAAGGTAGCTGCACAAGTAGTTTACTTCTTATTAGAGGCTGGTGAGTTTACAAAAGCACCTGCTTTATTCTAGCAGATAATCTGCGATCCAGCACTTGCTGACGGCGACGGGCCTCCCAGTGCATGGCTGACATGCTACACCACCCACTGGCCTGTAAAAGAGACGGAATGATGCCACCACGTCAATGCAAAGTAACTGGAGAGCGTTTCCTGATTAACGAAATTCAAAACCACATGCTGATATGTTTCCTTTGTCATGACACCCATAAAGAAATAAACACTGAACTGATTTCTTAGCTGTTAATAAATATTGATGCTTAAGTCCAAGCTGGTTTAGCAGATGACAAAAATGTGTACAAAAATAAAATGGTAATTAAAAAGCTAAATAGGTTTTAGAGCTGTAGAGTAACATTTAGTCACATGCCATTTATCCTGTGCAAACCCAATACAGTCACATTCCAACTATGTCTATAACATGCTAAGCAAAAAACATGGGATAATAGCATGTTTCTTTCCTGAAAGATTGTGCACCCAAAAAATGTATCAAATATTGTCATTTTCTCACTCGTCACTTGTTCCAAACATATATGAGTGTCTATTTTTCTGTGGAACATAAAAGAAGACATTTTGAAGAATGTTTAAAAACCAGTAGCCATGGACATCTATAAAAATAGGTCAACGGTTAAAAGTTTTCATCGTTCTTCAAAATATTTTCTTCTGTGTTCATCAGAAGTAACGTTAAGACACTTTTGGTTTGGAACAAGTGGAGGGTGAGGGAATCGTGAATTTTCATTTTTGTGTGAACTAACGTTATCCCTTTAAGGCAAAACTCAACAAAACAACATGATTTCTTCACACACAAAAAGAAGACATTTACTAATGACAAAGCATTTACCAACTTCTGAGGTTTTCCAGGTATATTTCCAATCCACACCGAACAGCTCCTTCTCGGACAGCTTGCTGGTTTCTTAGCAACGCCATTGCTCCCAACGTGCTGACGCCACGAATTCCGACTGTAGCTCGTGTGATGACGTCATGTTTTGTTATTTGTTTTGTTTGCTATTACTATTTCAAATAAAATAAATAAAGCAAACCCTCTTAAAACTTAAAGAGTTGATTGAAAACTCCATAAAGCACGATATGTTTACAGATCACACTTGATAAAAACGTACAGTAAATATAGCTTGATTGAACAGCTGTTACTCCATTTATCTTTACCATTGTAGACAATATTGGCTAAAGATTGTTTTGCGCACTATAACAAATTATAATAAATCATTTGCCGTTTGTTTTCCAGTAATGGGATGTAGCTGGAAGGGCATCCGCTCTGTAAATCATATGCTGGATAAGTTGGTGGTTCATTCCCCTGTGGTGACCCCTGATGAATAAGGGACTAAGCCGAATAAAATTAATTGAATTTGCCGTCTTCACGCACCAAAACAAGACACAAGACTTAATAATTATTAGGTAGTTTCGATGACTTCAGCTCGCCACAGTGAGGAGCTGTTCGGACAGGAATAAATCAACAAACACGAGCTGACATCCGATACCAGGACGGCGAACAGTGAAACGCTAGAGGGAGCAGCGAGAGGATTCAGGGGTTCACGTGACGTCACATGCAGGGATTGTTGTTCTGGATTTTGTGCGTTCAGCTCCACTTTCATCTCTGAGATCACTGGAAGAGGACTCTGAAGAATAAGCACTGTTTTGAGTCGCTTGGATAGCTGGTCGCCTGCGTTTTTAAAGTGAGAAATGGAAAAGCTGCCCTTTAGGAGATAAACACCTATTTAGGTAAGTGGAGCAGACGCTGGCGAAGATTAAACAGCAGCGTTTTAACAAGCGTGGTTGGTTCTTGCTTCACTGCGGTTTTTGATCTCAAGTATCTGCTGAGTTTGCTAGACAGATGTTTCGGGTTATAGCTAATATTTTTCATCCCTTTTAAAGTTTGATATAGTATTTAATTCATTACTTCAACTTTAAATTTTACTTTACTTTACAACTTTACATTTTGCTTTCTTAATTTTACACTAGTAGCTATATTACACGAATCTTGTGTACACGTTTACATTCATTTAAACTATATTAAAGTACATTTAAAATGAGCTAAATCACGGTTTAAAGGACATTTTAATTAGTTAAATATATGGTTTACTCATTTTATTTATTTATTTATAGAATACATCTGATAACAACTGTAAAACAATCAATTGCTGATTTCTGCCTCCTTATCATTAATGGAGATAATTGATACAACTTTTTAAGAAAGCTATTTCTGTGTTGACTGTTAAGAGGATTAGATTCAGCAAATAAGCATAGAGAGCAACCTCCAGACAACCAATTAGACACATCGTTTAAAGGGACAGTTCACCCAAAAGTCAAAATTTACTCACGTTCAAGCATTTTTACATGTTTATTAAAGTATTTCTTCTGTTTAACACAAAATAAAATATTCTGAGAAATGCTGGAAACCAGCAACCTTTTAAATCCATAGCAGGAACACTAAATACTGTGGAAATCAATAGCTGCAGCTTTCCGGCATTCTTCAAAATATCTTATTTTGGGTTTGATGGAAGAAAGAAATAGGACGTAAATATACAGTACATACATTTTCACTCCTTTAACCTTTACATACAATTAAATTATGTTATTTTCTTGTTGATTTAATATTTATACTAAAGAGTATTTTCATCACGTTGAGTTAAATTAGCTAATCAAATTTTTGATTATTTGTTGCGTAAAGCTAAACACTGGCAGGCTCTAAAATGATAGTCCAGTATTTATATTTGGTCTGCCTTGGGTCAAAGGCACCCCTTGTAAAGTTGTAAATAACTTCCATATCTTTGATGATAATCTGCCTTTGTTTTGTTTTGTTTTTTCTTCTTTAATTAGGTTCCACACGGTGCCTCCGGTCTTACAGCGCCTCCGTCTGTCTGCAGTACCTTTGAAGTAGGTGCAAATGCCCAACACTTCAAATCTGCTTCTCCTTACAAGAGGGTGAGAAAAGCAAGTTGCCATGGGAAACCAGTTAACAGAGATTGCCCCCAACACACCGTTCCTGCCCAACTTCCAGTCTCTTCACGTTGTGGTGATTGGTTTGGATTCATCAGGCAAAACCTCGCTTCTCTACAGGCTGAAGCTGAAGGAATTTGTTGAAACCATCCCGACTAAGGGATTTAACACTGAGAAGATTAAAGTTCCGGTTGGAAATGGCCGGGCTATTACCTTCCAGGCGTGGGATGTAGGTGGTCAGGAGAAGCTCCGGCCATTGTGGAAGTCCTACACGAGGCGCACGGATGGCATGGTGTTTGTGGTGGACTCTACAGAGGTGGAGCGCATGGAGGAGGCTAAGGTGGAGTTGCACAAGATCACGCGTACGTCAGAGAACCAAGGAGTGCCGGTGCTTGTGTTGGCGAACAAACAGGACCTTCCAGTTGCACTGCCGGTTTCTGACGTAGAAAAGGTTTTGGCTGTACACGAACTGAGCGCCTCCACCCTACACCATGTGCAAGGGTGCAGTGCGGTCGATGGGCAGGGGTTGCAGCTGGGCTTGGAAAAACTCTATGATATGATCCTCAAACGAAAGAAAATGGTGCGGCTCAGCAAGAAAAAAAGATGAGCTGGATGGGTTTATTCCACTTGTGAAGCTCCATGAAGGACTTTCGTAGCATTTTGCAGCAAATCCCTAAATGAAGGAATTGCTCCAGATGGCCCGGTGGTGGTCAGGAGAAAACGGATTTGACCTTTATGTCACACACACACTCACAGTATTAAACTGCTTTCTTCCATGCCTAGTAATTTGCTGTGCTGCTTCCCTTTGTAATCAAGGAATATGTGATAGCATTGATAGGCCCTAGTGTCAGCAGAATTAAAGCCTACGTCCTTGCCTTCTTTTTCTTTTCTTTCCAAGCGAGACTGAATCATAGCTTGGCAACACTGATTTCCACCAGGCTTCGGTCCTCATTTTTTTCAATACACTGATTGCCAGTGCCGCTATAATTAAAGGCCATATAAATGTTCACGCTATGCTAGTTGTGAAACTGAAGTCTTAAGCGAATCACAGAGATTCACTATTCACAGATCTACGTTTTAGTTGGAGATATGTTTGTTTTTACTTGCTGTAAATAGTTTTGTATTGCTGTAGATTTAATAAATTATAGATGGCTTTGTCACAGACAGCGATTCAGAAGCTGTATCTTTTATTCTTGAGGCTGAGCAGATTTTGCTAAAATAAATGCTAATTATTATTATTATTAGGACTGTCACGACTGTTATTGTGTTGCTGACGATTGTTGGAGAGGGATTTGTAATTCTTTTATTTTGCACTTTCTTTATGCATATTTGTGTATTTATGTTTTCTATGATTATTATGCTTAAATGGTCATATTTGAAAATGTACTTAATATTTTATTATTTATCTATTAATTCAGATTTATTAAAATCTGAAACTGAATCGTTATTATCTTGTATTATTAAATTATATTATTAAATTCATAATGTTTTTTCATAAACTGGATAAAACCTACTGTAAACAACACAAATTATATTTACAGTGCTTAGCAAATATGAGTACACCCCTCACAAATCTATAATAGGAAGCTATACAATATTATATTTGTGCATATACATTAGATTAGTCAGTACTGAAGCCAAATCTGGAGCAAGATAACTTGCGATAACGGTCCAAAAAATAGTACACCCAAGTTTATGTTTTAGAAAATTATTAAACACAAATTTTAAAAAAGGAAAAATCAAAAGAAGCAAAAATATTGTAATATTTAGATGAAATTTTGTAGGTTGTAGTGTTTTTGGCAATATTTAGCTTGAATGTAGTTGTATTATCTTTAAATTTTTAAATATGTTCGATGACTAAAATATTATTTTAATAAACATATCTGTTTAATAAAGCAGTTTTGTTTAATTACACCAAAATAAGTTCCCTAGATATTCACTTAGAAATAAATAAAAAAATAAATTTTCAGTATGGGGTGTACTCAATTATGCTGAGCACTGTAATGGCTAATAAGGTTTTAAATCAATGTGTTGAAACATAAAACAGCCGCTGTTAAACTATTAATAGAGCAGGAGCTCATGATGATGTCATCTGTGTTCAGGGAGAGCATCCCACAGGAAATGCAGTGATGCTGAAAGAACATTGTTTGATGTAACCTTGATGTTTGTGGTTTAATTCGGAATCAACATTACACTGCTTTTGCTGACACAACATACAAGATAGTCATTGAACCACCAAAGTAAGATAGAGATACTGGAGCTTCTAATGTAAGTCCAGTCTTTTTTCATTGTTTTAAGTGAGCAAATGGTTTTTAGATGTCCCCACCCCTACCGCTGTACAGACAGACAAATTTATTTACTTTGCTATCAACTTCCTAGAGAAGCAGCTGCTTTGCTCTGATTGGATTAATTGGTGCTCTGGGTTTATGGTGAGCTGAATTGCATGAGGAGAGTGAACAGGACTGATTTATGAGATCAGTGACTCTGCTAACCTAATAAGACTTGTAGGCCTGTGACAGGATGATATGCAGCTTGCCATTTTGATAATTTGTTTAGGATTAAATTATATGTTATACTATATAACTGTTTTCCTCCAATACAGCTATGGAAAAAAAAAGATTAAGAGACCACTTGAAAGTTCTGAATTTATTTACTGGTATTATAAGCTATATGAATTTGAGTTTTCTTTTTAAAAAATTTGTTTCATTCGATTGATTCTATTCTTTAATGCGGGAGGGTGCCGTTTTCACAATATTTTTATAACATAGGTCTCAAACTCGATTCCTGGAGGGCTGCAACTCTGCACAATTTTGCTACAACCTTAATCAAACACAACTGATCCAACTAATCAAGGTGTTCAAGACTGATGCTGTGGTCACACTAGAGTTTGTGCAGGTGAAATTCTGTTGTACGGCGATGCGAAAAGGGGCAGGATTAAACAATACATTAAAAAAGGTAGCGATTGGTCCATGTTTTAAATTCTTGTC